CATTTTCCATTGTACATTTTCCTCAAAAATATTTCTTCTAATTATTATTATTTCTATAATTCTTATAATTATTCTCATAATTACAAGAATATATAAGAATTATAATTCTTGTAAATATTCTTATAATAAATATTTCTTCTAAGAACTTGCCCTGTCTTGATTGTTTCGACATTCTTCGGGGTAAAAATTAATAGTTAGTTAGATATGAAGTAAAGCTATTAAAATAAAATATAAGCTACTGAGCATTCACATTTAGTTTTTGTCACTTTTTCTTACACAAAAATGCCAAACTGAAAATTTATGTACTTTCTTGAAATTCGAATTCACAGTTATTCTGGTTGAGCTAACTACGCAACAGTCTTTGCAGAAATGTGCAACTAATCGAATGCAATACGTTGAACACGCATGACATCGTAGTTTCTGATCCGATAACCTTATAAGGCAATAAATTTATATCCCGGTCAAATGACCGGTAGTGGGAGAAATAGGCATACGACAAGAATTTTTCGAAGCAAACAAATTACAAAAAAAAAATAATGATAATAGAATATTGACTGTATATAATTGTTAGAAAAAGTCATGAAGTCAAACGTGCAAAAACGATAAGATGAGAAGTGTATTTTCGATGCAAAAGTTCTTAAACGGTCATTTGACCGGCTATGGTATGTTTAGTGTTAAACGGAATAAAATTTTACTGCAAAATGGGATTATATAGTAAAATTAATTGTACGCCTGATGCTGTTTCTTTTTACCATAATTTGTTCCGGAATTTTTTTTGCAGAGTAATAGCTTTTTTTAAGATAAAATTTCATAAACAGCATTAAAAAAATAGTTTCAGAACTTTATTTCAATAACATTTTCTATGAATTCTTAGAAATATATAGCTTATCGTAATCAAAATCAAATAAATGCTACTTTAAATAAGAAAAAAAACTTTAATAATTATGATTTTGAGATTACCTGTGGGCAACATTTCGGAAGTTAAGGACATCTGGTATTGTTCGTGACCTTGGCTTAGAGAAAACGCTTAGTATTTCCGGTTATAATGATTCACATGTTTATTTGTCCTTCGACAAGTAAAAGTAAGATGAATCAGGTATTAATTTAATAGAAGAATTAGTTTTAGAATGTTATTTTGGAATGAACATTTATTAATTTAAGTGTGTGTTTAAGAATTGATTCTTAGCGTCAAAACTATTCATCATTATTTTTTTTTCTTACTTTGCAGAAATTTCTTTTTTTCCTTCTTTATGTTTCTTCTCTTCTAATTAAAAATATTTTTTAATGAATTAGTTTTTTTTTTTTTTTTTTTTTTTTGAAAAAAAATGACTGCACGCATGGTAGAATATATTGCCTATCAAGTTAATTTGTTCAACTTAAAAATTTAGCTTCTTTGAAATTAATGGTATTACCTATGGCTTTGCTTGTTAGGCTATTTCTTTCAACTTGAAAATTCACTTTCTTAACATTTCGTATTTAACATTAGAAAAGAATACAATAATTCCAATTAATCGTAACAGGAAATTGTTTAGTTTTTTTTTAATATTTTTGGCTGCACTTTCATATTAAATTTTATAATCACTGTATTAATTTATTTGATATTCTTTTGTTAATGTTTGATATAGTTTTGTTTTGTTGAGTTAAATTCATATACATTTAATCACTATATCAATTTAAGTGTTAAATTGATATTCCTTTTTTCACTATATCAATTTAAGTGTTAAGCTAATATTCTTTTGAAAACTATATAACTCTAATAGTTTTTTACTTTAGGTTTCATAAAATTCTAAAACACTCAATCAATTGCAGTAAACTGCTTCAAAACTGCTGTTTATAAAACTACATATTTATTACTACAGAAAAATTTTAAATTTTTTAATACTTTTGGTTGAAATTTTATATTACATTCTTTTAATCACTTATTACATTATTATTTATTATTACATTCGTTTAATCACTATATCAATTCCACAAATTTGGTTGTTATTTCATGAATTTTGTTTTACCGTGCCAGTGATAGATGAACAATTATTTAAGAAATGGCAGGGGCACCAATTTATAAAATTTTCTGGATTAAGTTAATTATTTTTTATACAGATGAATTAAATATGGCAGCTTTTTTTGTACAACAATAGTCATATACGAACAAACTTTAAGCTAAAATTTTACTTTATTTGGTTATTCAAGTTATTTACAGTGTTGTAAGGGACTCATACGTATCGCTTAATCAGAGACATATAACTTTTTTTTAAGTATATCATAAAAAGACAATTAAAATAAAATTAATAGATTGATTTTAAGTATAAATTTCATAAAATAAAAATTGATGATCAGCAATTGATGGATTTTTGATGAACAACATTTGAAACAAAACGGAGCAAAATGTCTGATAAACCGTAATTATTGCAGTAATAATTACCGTAAAATCACTGGATCACTCTAATTTAAATATTATTAAAACTTATGCATAATATTTTAAGGTAAAAATGGTTTTTACGGTAAAAGGGATTTCACGGATGATGCACTCAAGTGCACTTTATATCGTAATTTAGTTCGAAATGTATTACATTGTATGCATATTATTTCAAAATCGCACTCATATGCGTTTAAAATAAAAAACAAACAATATAATAATTTTTAGCATGAAGTTAAAATTTTATCTCATTCACTGAGGTAGTGTTGTTTTCAGGGAAAACGAGATTTGCAAAGAAAATTGTTATGGTAGGGTGTTAGTATTTGTTGAAATAACTATCAAATCAAAACTTCATTGTGTAGTTAGAACTTCATTATATCTTAACTTCATTATCACCCTTTGAAATTAAGTTTGTTAAATCGATTAATTTTAAAACAATAAATTAATTAAATATTGTATAGAACGGAGTATTTTAATAAAATAGTTTACTTTTTATTCTTAAAATCATAAGAAGCTCTGATATCAGCATTTTCAATGTCTCTTAAATTACTATTTTTTCATGAAGGAAGTTAAACTTTGTTTTTAAATATGGCAATTTTAGAAACAATTTTAGTTCAAAAACATTTCATGCATTTTATTTCAAAAAATGCAAGAAGAATTAAATAAATTTAATAAATGTTTGATAACTTGGATAAATTGAAAAGATTTTAGTATTTTCTGGTTTGATGTTTAATTTGAAAGGGAATTGGAATTAAACTACGATTTTTATTAAATATCGTTAAGTGACGTTGCATATAATCAATTAAAATTAGTGTTGAAAATTAGGGTTATTCTACACGGAGAAAGAATTCTAGCAAAATTACTGTATTGCATGTCATTTTTGTAAAGCAGTCCATAATTTTGGTTAATAAATTTAAGTATTTAAACCATTCATATAGTAATTATCCTGTTCATATGACATTGGTTTACCGGAAAATCTGGTTTTCAAAATTATAGTTCTTATTACCCCACATTTAATAAAAAATACAAAACTGTAAAGTAAATTTAGCCAAATAAATGGTTTTCAGTGCCGTACACGAAGTTATCATGATAAAATTACCAAATTTAACTTTTACCAAAAATATATCAGATATTATAAAACTATATTTTTTGTTAATATTACCAAAATCGTTACCAAAGAGCCCCGGTAAAAATTACTGAGTTCTTCTCATGTTCCCATAGAGCCAGAAAAACGGTAAATTTTACCGTATTTTGGTAGTTTAGGCAATATTTATTTAAGCAGTGTAGATTTTCACTGCTTTAAAACGAAGAAGGTTGGTTCAGAAGGTTGTTAGAAACATTTTGAACTATACTTCTTTTTGAAGCCTTTTTCTATCTTGTTATTTCAAGTTATATTTGCACAATTATATGTTCTTAAGTTTGTTAAAGAATACTACTGCACAAATTTTAATTAAAAAAATGAACAAACAAGACTATCAGCACAAAGTAAAAACTCTCTTTTGTGTTTTTTGAGAGTCATATATCTTTATCCCTCCCGCTTATGAACTCTCTATGAAATTTTGCTTTTCATATAATATTAAATTATTATTAAATATTTTATACAGGAGACTGAGATTTTTCATTGCTGTAGCTTTGTTCCTCAGCTAAAGCAAATTTTTTTTATAAAACCTAAACATATTAAATTTAAAAATATTCTGCTCTCTGCTTGTTTCATAAACTCCCCCAAAGATTTATTTTTTCGGCTCTTATTCCGGCCCTTATTTTTAAATTTCTTTATTGATCCAAATCCCTTTTATCTGCAACCACTTCTAAAAGAGCATTTTTCCTTCATTATAACAAATTTATTGAAATTTGCTGACAGTGATTGATAAATATGTTTACTAAAATACCAAATAGTTATACTGTATGGTGCATAGTTTTCATAGTATTAAGAATAAAATTTCTTTTCTGACGCTGTTCTTTAAGCATTAATGATTTTTTGTTTATTTTAAAAACATGTTTAACATTTTTTTGCGAAAGAGTGTATGTGACAAACGTGCAAAAATGAATGCTTCATTTATTTCTTAAATCTCAGCTTTCTATTTTGCATTCATTTCAGTTGAATAATTTTCGGTTATACACAATACACAACAAAGAAAGTAATAATTTAAAAAAAGACACCGAAATTTATTTTTGGAAAGCAATACATGCAGTTTCAGCAGTTTAAAGAATGTAAAAGAAGTGGATACTAAGCAAATTTACTATGAAATTTCAAGTTTATGCAATGTTGTTATTTACAATTCATTTTTACGTAATTACTTAATAAAATATTATTAATAGTATTAAACGAAAATTAAAAATCACTCTTCAAGCTCAAATAAGTAATAAAAGAAGATGATATTACACAAAAATAAAAGCCAATATGTTGACAGCGTGATAGTTTTCTGCTAAAGGCAACTGCACATATCTGTAACTTTTTTGTTTATTGAGCAACAGGTCAAATGATTTACTGTTCTGTGATTGCCCATATGGGGTCACTTTGCTAGATTTATGTTATTGTATGAAACATATGTATTTTAATGAAAAAATTTCTTTTTTTTTCTTACAGCACCCAGTATTACTGGGTTTCCTTTGGTCACTCCTGCTCCAAGCATTGAGAGGCCAAGCTCAGATAAGCAACCAAGAAAACAAAGTCTATGCTTATTCATATCACTTCCAGCATAATGGAACCACTAACTCCAAAGATATTTTAAGATCAGTACTGGGAACTGATCCAGAACTTGGTTTTGACAACGATGATAAAAGTATTATCAAAACTTTCTCAAGTCCTAATATTCGTGGATTTTTCACTAAAGGCATTCTACCAGGAGGTCCCATCAACAGTGGATTTGGTGGCAATTTCAGATCAAATTTTAATTCCAATCCAGCAATAGAAAACATCAAAAATGTAATTCAATCAAGTCTTCAACCACCTTCTAGCAACATAGCTCGAGGGATATTACCCCCTATTTCACCAGACATAAGAAATGAATTCCCTGGGGATTTTAATAACGTGAATGATATTGGACTCAACTACCAACCACAAGATGACTTTCCCAAAATTCCACCTCCACCACCTCCTCCTATTTTACAGAATCAAAATAATTATCCACAAATTCAACCGGTCGTGACAATCCCCTCTTTAGGTCAGAATAATTTTCCAGATATTCCACCGCCACCACCTATACCTTCATTAAATGTAAATTTGCCACAAAATGTTCCAAATAACAATAATGGTTTGAACAAAATCGAAAATTTTGAGCGCGACACTCCTGATGGTGGTAAAATTGTTGGGCAGGTTGAAACATTTTCTTACAATCCTCCGCTCGTCTCCAATCGCAACTCTAACTACCAAGAAAACGCAGAAGGTTTCAGACGCAAAGAAAACTTCGTTAACAATAACCAGCAGGTTACTGGGCATCGCACGCAATCATATTTCCGCCAACAATTCAGAACTGTAACGCCAAATATAGATTCAAACAGTTTATTCCAAAACAACCGAGTCAATAATCGTGATAGTGATAATTCTAATAACAACGATAACCAATGGTGGAACGCTCTTAACGTATTAGGCGGTAAAAACAATAATAATATTAACAACAATCATAACAATAATCAAAACCAAGGCAACAATTACAATAATAATAATGGTAATGGACAAAACTTTGGGCAACATGTTGATCAAAATATAAATCAAATACGAAATAATATAAACAAAGAAATAAATAGAGCATTTGGTAGCAGAATTAGTAATTCGAATAACCGACAAAATTTTGCTCGGAATAACAATGATTTCAAACCGAATACAAACATTGAATTTAATGAGCGTAATAATAACCAAAATCCAACTCTAAGCCAAATTCATAAAAATCAGCCGCAGATCAATATACCTTTCAATAACAACGCTGTTACTAGGGTTTTCAATCGACGTGCTAATGATGGTGGCTACCAGAACAACCAACGTCAGAATAATGTTTTAAATAACCGACAGCAGAATAATGCTAACTACATAAGTAACCAAGGTCCCAACAATATCTTAAACAATCATCCACAAAATAATGTCAATTATCGAAACAACCCTGGTAACAATAATTTTAATAACAACCAACCAAATTTAAACAATCAGTTTAATAATGACGATACAACAAGAAGAGTGTTGGGTTTAATTAATGAAGTAAGTTCACGTTTAACAAACAATCCAGAGAAATTTTCAAACGACATTGGAGTGACGTGGGATGACGTAATTCAACCGAAAAATTTCAACCATGATTGGAGTCGGCGTCAGTCTTTTGGAACAGGCAGACCTTTTTCCAATGGCCATTCAGGACCATTAAATAATATCGATCCAAAACCAATCGAAGTAATAAAAACGTCAATTGAAGCATTGGCGGGAAATAGAGATATTCCAGTGCCCCCAATTCCCGAAATTGGTAATCAAGACGGCAATTACAGAAATGTTGGTGGAGGCGGAAACGAAAAGTTTTTTAATGTTAACAAAGTTGTTGAAGGTCCCAATTCCTTTAGTCAAAATCATCACCGTGGATTCGAACGGAATTTCCATGTGAACTCTAACAATGGTTTTCAGCGGACCAATCAATGGTCCACCAACGTGGTACGAAGATTGGATGCCCAAAGCACTAGGGATGATTTCAGTAAAGATTTCATTGATGTTTTTAGAGAAGACTATTGATTCTATGACAGAATAATACTTAATCATTGAACAAGGAAACATATTTTTTTAATGGAAAAAGGTAATATTTGTAATTACCATGAAGTGCAATAAAATATTTCATTGCATACTCAATTGCCAAGCATTTATACATGCGATATTTAAAAGAATATTGGTTTGGTTATCAAAGTCTTGTTTCAGTCTACAAACAATTCAATGAATAATCATATTCTACTAATAACAGCATATCATATGTTAATTATCTTTCATAATGATTATTCTCATTTTCACCAGCTAAGTGGAATATCAAAAAGAAAAGTCTGTTAAGTTATTGATCCGATTACAAAATATGTGAATAAAAATATAAAATAAATTTTTAAAGCATTACATGAGTTTAATATAACTTAGTTATTGAAAATGATATGTTCTGATTTCATAGACTGGTTTTTCTTACTGAAATCATTTAAAGTTTGATATTTTAAAAATGAACTCACGTTTCAAAAATGTCAAATAATAATCTGAATCTTCAAATACTTTTTAATTTAGGAGGATATAAAATACAGAATCAATTCAAAATAATTGGAATTCGTGATGTTCGTGATGATTCGTCTATTTGTTTGTTTGAATGTCTAAAATGTTTTTTAGAATTTAAAATATAACAAAATATAAGAGTGAAAATTAAAATATTAGTTGAAATGATTTATTAGTTGCTCCTGGAAAGCATTTCTACAAATCATTGTTACACGCTGAGTGGTCCGAATTTCAATACCATTCATAATAATTCTCGAAAAAGGGTGGTAAACAATTTAAAATTATGTGCAAAAATATATGAAAAAAATTAAGGAAAATTAGCTGAAAAAACTTGCAAATATTTTAAATTTTTAAAAATTCCATTCCCTATTTCACATTTCATATTTTCCAAAATGGTAGAAAATATTGTAAGATTTCGACAATCTCTTAAAACTATTAATAATTATATGTCTCTGGAAAATTTTGATAACTTAATATTTGTGAATATTAAATTTCAAATTGTAAAACAAATTTAAAATGTTGAATAATTAATTCATACAATAGTATTGTATTATTAATGTAATTTATCATTACGCATTTAGGTGCAGAAAGTTGAAATTTTTGTGTTTATCAATGTTCGAAACAGTCTAACTAAAAATATGTAAAATGTAGGTAATATAAAGATTCAGAGGGCAACAGCATTAGATATGATATAATAATAAAGATGTATACTTAAGAAGCAGTGATTAATACTGACTTATAGTTTATTTCGAAATTTAAATTGATAACTTGGACAAAAACTATATTTTGCCAAAAGTTATTTACATGGACCAATTAAATTTTATTTCTAAGATAAAAATTTTATATGAATTATTACTTACACTTTTTTTGAGAACTGTAAATAAAGGTAATTTTATATTTTTAAAATGCAATGGCCAAACAGTATAATTAATGTCCATTTTAAAAATGTTATTTGTTCTTATTAGAGTGATATTTTATTTATTTTGTGTAATTTGTGTTATGAGAGAAAAAATATAGCATCTGATGTATTTTTTTTATCATATCTGTAAATTGTAAATTAGATTATTGTATAGACATTCAAATTGTGAATTAAAATTAAAATGTTTTACAGTCAGATTGTATAAATATCACAATTTGAAATTTATTCATAATTGTGGGTTTTGCGGTATGTTCGGAAAAAGGGATTATGTAAAGCAAACATGTTTGGTGTTGGCTACTGGTCTATGAAACAAATCATAATTATCATAAGAAACTGTTTATTGTGTATTATAAAAAGGTTTTTTCTTAATATAAACTGATGTGTCAAATAAAGATATTATTGTTTGATTGTTTTCTTAATGCACTTCTTAATACAGGTATTTTCCATTTCTTTCCTATTGTTATAAATTTCACTACCTAATTACATTGCTAGAGATGTAAAATATAAAGTTTATTAATGTATGTTTAGCATTTTCCAATTTTCCCTTTGATATTTTCCAATAGAAAGTCTTAAGTAGTCTCTAAATCTTAACGTATCCTTAATGTGATCTGAACTTTAATAATTACAAATTTATTCATTATTTATTCAAAATTATTTACCATGCAGATCGCTTAAAATCATTTATAATTACAACCATTTTATTTCATATTCATAATGGTTTCCTTGTATATACAAAATCTACAGATATCACGCATTATCCTTGATTATAAGGCAAATACACTTAAATTATTATTTAAGTCGCTTCAAAATATTAGTATAATGACAAAATATTAGTGCATGGGTTCCCAGTCTTTTTTGAATCGCTGCCTAGTTTCTAAATCGAAAAAACAATTCTATTGCTCCACAGCAAAAGAAAAAATAATTAATAATGAATGACATTTCTTTAATTTAAATTAAGTTTTTTAGTAGTTTGTTAATGTACAGTGAGCAAAATAAAAAAGGGTCCATCCAGAATAACTTTTCATCTAACGATCGGATCAATCTTAATGCCTCGAAAGAATGACTTCAAATATGCTCATTAGTAAATGCAACGATATTTTAAGTTACGAAATCAGACACAAAAACTTACTTTCCATGAATAAACATATATTTTTTTTGACAGATTCAAATTTCTGACCATAAAAATATAGTGGTTAGCGGTAACCAGGGAAATATGGTTCTAATGGAGAGCGCCTGAAAGTTTTGACCCCTTAATGTCAATTTTGCTTTTTGCGTATTTCTCTATGTCGAGAGAACTTTTTAAGCAAATTTTAAAAAAAAATTGCACACAACTAAAAAATTTGTTTATACAATGATAAAATAGCTTGTAATAAATATTTTTTATTTTTTGTAAGTTTTTTTAATAATGGCCTAAAAAGTTTTAAGGTATACAATTTTTTGCATGATTTTGAAGAATAAATTTTTACATGGTAAAATACAAAATTTGATTGAAATCGGTTGAATAAATCCTGAGAAATTGAATTTTAAATGTATACCTTAATTCATAATAATGTATTCATAATAATTCATAATAATTCATAATAATTCATAATAATAATAATTCATAATAATTCATAATAATAATAATTCATAATAATAATAATTCATAATAATAATTCATAATAATAATAATTCATAATAATAATTCATAATAATAATAATTCATAATAATTCATGATAATAATAATTCATAATAATTCATAATAATAATAATTCATAATAATAATGTATACCTTCATTTTAAATGTATACTTAAATTCAATTTCTCAGGAACTTTCAACAGATTTTGCTCAAATTTTATATTTTGCCACGTAAAATTATATTCTTTAAAACTATGCTCAAAATTTTTGCCTTACACTTCAAAATATTTTCGACCATTATTAAATAGAATAATAAAAAGTAATAACTATTTACCGAAAGCTATTTTTTGCATAGAAATATCTTCGGATAAATGAATTTTTTAATTGTGTGCAAAAATTTTTCAACTCACTTAAAAATCTCTCGAGATACAGTGAAACACGTAACATTAAGGGGTCAAAACTTTAGAGCGCTCTCCTGACCAAACTATTGGGACCATATTTCCCAGATTGCGGCTACTTCTTATATTTTGGGTGTCAGAAATCCTATTCGTCGTAAAAAAAAGGTATGTTTATCCAGATAAAGAAAGTATTTGGGACTGATTTCGTAACTTAAAATATCGTCTTAACTTACTAATTAGCATATTTTAGGTCAAACCCCGCGAGCCATTGAGATTGAGTCCTGGAACGTGAAGGACGGATCATTAAATCAAAAGTTATTCAGAGTGATCCGTTTTTGATAGTACACTGTACACTTCAATAATGAGGCCTTCGTGTAATTGAAAATGTAACTGATGACATACGGCCAATAAAATTATATACAAAATGTTAGTTTCATTAATTTTGATGGAAGTAATCCAGATGTAAAATTTTTTAGTACATGCTTAAAAATAAATTCAGCATATCCCTTTTCAGAATAAATTAAATTATTAACTAAATTTTATTTTCTTACATTTAATTAACAATATAAAATAAATGTAGTTTATGATTGTTATCGAGTCGATCTGCCATCTATCGGTGTTTTTAAATACTGAATGAAGCACATTAATAAATCAAATCAGAGAATTATATTTTATAAGTTAACAATAGGGTACGAGAAATTAATTACCTTTAGATAATATCCCACTAAACCATTTTAAAAACGCAATAAACACATAAATCATGCAGGTAAATTAACTTAAAAGCGTATACAAAACATTTTCAAAAACCAGTTGAAAAAGGAGAGAAAAGTAAATAAAAATTTAAATAAGTTTTCGAAAAATAATTTTTTTTTAAATGCAAAAATACGTTTATTTTAATTAAATATGCTTGCATTTTAGGTGAAATTAAGAAAAACCTCAGGGACAAAAGTTTTAAATTCAGTCGAAGATTGGCTACTAAAAGTTATAATTGTAGAATGGGTATCACAGTATTTTATTATTATCAAAAAGTTTATTTTATTTATATTTTTTTTAAAAAAGACTAATAATTAATACAATATAACGACTTAGGCAATTAATTTATGCTGAAAAAGAGTTTAATTAGTAGATAATTATGCATTTTAGATACCAAACTAAATAATGAGTTTTAACGTGTAGATTGAGTCCAATTAATTCAATACTAATTTCATCTATAGTCTGTTAACGACCTTCTAGTTAACAATAACCCTCTACAAATGCATACATCATTGCTAGTCCCCCTAAAAGTCTAGGGGCGATAGCGCAGACATTGGGAACATCGAGTTTAGTAGAACATATGTATTAAAATATATTATACGATAATTTTGGACATGTAATATGAATATATAAATATAATGATTATATAAATGTATTTGTCCATAATAGGTTGCAGATGCTTTCTAAGAAATCTTTTTTTTTCATTAGAAATATATTTTTCTAGTCTAACTTTTATTGAAGTTTTAACTATTATTAAAAGAAAACGAATTATAATCATATGCTTAATACATGTGGACACGCAATATTAAGATAAGATGGGGAAAAAGAGAGTGAAGTCATAAAAATTACCAATAATTAGCAACACAAGCACAAATATTTGTAGCAAAAGTATGACATAGTACTGAGGGTACAAAATAATCTAAGTGCTTAGTTTATAACTTGTAACATAATATTTTGAAAGATTTCATATTTCCGAGTTTAGAAATAGATAATTTATAAATAAGAACACATAAATTTATTCATTTNTCTAAGACTAAATCTGAATGGTTCGAGGGGGTAACATAAAATTTGCAAATTAATTAGCGTAGACGATATTTTAAGTTACGAAATCAGACACAAAAACGTACTTTCTCTGAAAAAACATATATTTTTTTCTAAAAATTCGAATTTCTGACCCCAGAAATATAGGGCTTAGCGGTAACCTGGGAAATATGGTTCTAATCGAGAGAGCGTGAAAGTTTTGACCCCTTAATGTTAATTTTGCTTTTTGCGTATTTCTCTATGTAGAGAGAACTTTTGAGGCAAATTAAAAAAAATTTGCACACAACTAAAAAAGTTGTTTATTCAATGATAAAATAACTTATAATAAATATTTATTATTTTTTGTTATTTTTTTTAATAATGGTCGAAACAGTTTTAAGGTATACAGTTCTGAATAATTTTGAAGAATAAATTTTTACATGGTAAAATACAAAATTTTAATTAAAGTGTTCAAATAAATCCTGAGAAATTGAATTTTAAATATCTGACTTTTTGGAAATTCAGTTTCTCAGGAACTTTCAACCGATTTTGCTCAAATGTTATATTTTGCTGTGTAAAATTATATTCTTTAAAATTAAGCTCAAAATTTTTTGCCTTACACTTCAAAATATTTTCGACCATTATTAAATAGAATAATAAAAAGTAATAACTATTTACTGAAAGCTATTTTTCGCATGGGAATATTTTCGGATAAATGAATTTTATAATTGTGTGCAAAAATTTTCGAATTATAGTGAAATATGCAAAAAGTAAATTTATCATTAAAGGGCCGAAGCTTTGGTAAGCTCTCCTGACTAAACTACTGGAACCATATTTCCCAGATTGCGGCAACCTTCTATATTTTTGGGGTCAGAAATCCGATTCCGTCGAAAAAGAGGTTTGTTTATTCAGATAAAGAAAGTATTTGTGACTGATTTCGTAACTTAAAATATCGTCAGCACTTATTAATTAGCATATTTTAGGTCAAACCCCTTGAGCCATTGAGATTGAGTCCTGGAACGTGAAGATTCGATCATTAGATCAAAAGTTATTCAGAGTGGTTCGTTTTTGATGGTGCGTTGTACACTTCAATAATGAGGCTTTCGTGTAATTGAAAATATAACTGATGACAAATGGCCAATAAAATTACATAAAAAATTTACATCTGGATTACTTTCATCAAAATTATTTAAGCAAATATTTTATAAGTACATGCAATAAAAATAAATTCAACATATCACTTTTTAGAATAAATTGAATTCTTAATTAAATATTATTTTCTAACATTTAATTAAAAATATAAAATAAATGTAGTTCATGATTGTTATCGAGTCGATCTGCCATCTATCGCCTGTGTTTCTTAATACTGAATGAAATGCATTAATAAATCAAATCAGAGAATTATATTTTATAAGTTAGCAATAGGCTACGAGAAATTAATTACCTTTTGATAATATCCCACTTAACTATTTTGAAAACGCAATAAACACATAAATCATACAAGTAAATTAACTTAAAAGTGTATACAAAACTTTTGAAAAAAACCAGTTAAAAAAAGAGAGAAAAGTAGATAAAAATTTAAATAAGTTTTCGAAAAATAATTTTTTTTAAAAAATG